GGGCAACCTGTGCCAGGGCCTCCCCACCCTCACAGGGAGGAATTCCTTCCCAATCTCCCATCTCACTGTGCCCTCTAGCAGTGGGAAGCCATTCCCTGTGTCCTGTCCCTCCACCCCTTGTCCCCAGTCCCTCTCCAGCTCTCCTGGAGCCCTTTTGGGCACTGAAAGGGGCTCTCAGCTCTCCCTGGAGCCTTCCCTTCTCCAGGCTGAATGCCTGATGATGCCAAGAAAACAGTAACTCAGAGCAACTTCACTGTGTGTCCCAAACTTGGGGAAGGTTCAGGACAGACAGGTATTAGCCCAGACTCTGTGACACCGAGGGAGTGAACACTCAGGAATGGTGGCCTGAAGAGCCTGTTCCATGTGGCCACACAGAGCCCAATTCGATCTTTCTCCTCTCACCATGACAGATCCCACCACCACACATGGATAACTATTACTCAAGGAAGGAGGTCCAGGCAATCAACTAAGGAATCAGTGCATAGTTCAGATACCTCAGCTCTGAGTGTTGCCATCTTCACACGGAAAATCAGACCGATAAAAACACCGGGGAGAGGAACACCACCGGACACGCGGGGAAGAAACAGGATTCCTTTCTCTAATTCCCTTTTCCCCCCGAGCTATACAGCCCTGGGAGGCAAAGCAACATTCACCTTGGACTCCTTGTGGGTGGACATCCTGAGGAAGGTGAGGAAGACGCTGTGATGGAGGGATTTCTGCACATCCTCCACCTCCGGATGGCAATCCCACACCCCGTCAAACTTGCGGGGGGCACGGCACAGGTAGGAGTCCAAACACTTCTGCAGGGTCTCATCAAATATCACCTGGCACACGGAAAGACAAGGAAATGGGAAGGAGGGAATCTCACACATTCACAGGTTGAGTTCATGAGCAGCTCAGTTAAGTTTAAAGATGATCCAAAAACGCCTAAAAGTGCTCAGAGGATTCCCATATCCATCAAATACAAGCAAACTCTTAAAATCCACAATGGAAAATCCATAGGGAAATACTTTCTTTGCACTCTAAGGTGCAGTAATTGAAATTAAAATGTTTCGCAAGTGACACAATGAGCACAAACAAATCTTTATGGAAATGATTTCAAGCTCATGGCTTTTACAAGCACCTACAAGGTCCTGCTTCATCTTCAGTGTCCACAAAACAACGATTACCTGGCACCAGAATTTGTCGTGAGGCAAAGCCAGGAGCCAGTTCAGGTCATCTGCAATGAACTTGGCTCTCTCCAGGAACTCCTCCAGCAGAGCAGGGTCCCTGACAGCAGGAGGGGGTTTGTAGAGCACGAAGGACCGATCAGCTTTGATGTCTGGGTGCTGCAGAAAGCAGAGACATGGAGCTCAATCCCCACACCAAGCCAGGGGAGTGCCCAGTTACCACCTGCACTGCCCCGGGAATTCCAGGAAACACAGAGTTACATTTTAATACAGTTTGACATTCACGGAATCATGGAAGAGTGTGGCTGGGAAGGGACCTTAAAACCCATCCAGTTCCACCTCCCACTAGCCCAGGTTGCTCCAAGCCCCCTCCAACCTGGCCTTGGACACTTCCAGGGATCCAGGGGCAGCCACAGCTTCTCTGGGCAACCTGTGCCAGGGCCTCCCCACCCTCACAGCCAGGAATTCCTTCCCAATATCTAACCTAAGTTTCCCCCCTGTCACTTTGAGCCCA